TTCCTTTTCTCCTTCTATCTTATTTGTTTTATTTTTCTTTATTTTCCATAAAGTCTCGCGTTACTTTAATTTAGCAGAAAGTAATTGTTCTTTGAAGCCCCAAATTCAGCATTATAYTCTTAAACGAATTCCAACTTTGTTTTGAAATTGTATTCGCTTTTCGTCCAAATAAACTCATCATTTTGTACGTCAAATATTCATGTGCAATGTTAACGCTCATTTTAGCCAAAATGAAAATAATTATTTGAAGAAAACTTTATGGTTGTGTCAAAAAGAGCAATACGTTATAGGGTAATTACAATCGACCTACATTTTGTCCTCAGAAGTCGTCTCGSTCTTAATTATCTATCGCACTTATTATTGAACACCGAAGTTGASTGCAGATGTACGCACTGCATGAAATCAGTACTTAACATTCATTATAGATAATCGCTGATAGCCGTATTACTATTACTAGATGGGAACACGATCTTAATGCCTAATAACGTGGGTTTGTCAGCGTGATACGAAAACTCTTCTCCTTACTTCATTCGTTCACCGCGCTGAAGGTTAAAATCGAATTTCCCTACAACGCCATAGTTTACTTGACACAATATTTAAGAACTTGATGCAGACATCTTGCTTCAAATGGATTTGAACGAAATATTCAGTTCTTTTTCAGAAATCAATGAARTCGTTACGGAAACTTAGATAGCTAAGGTGGACAGACAGACAGAGAATAGAAAGACAGAAAGACAAAGAAAGGTCGTTAAAAGGCYAGAGTGTTTAAAGAAAATACTGATTATATATTTTAAAAGTGTTTCTACGAAAATGAATACTCAAGTTGAACAAGGGCGTGAAAARGAAAAATGCTTTTAAAAAATGTTGAAGTCTCCTTCGGCATCTGTACCGCTCATTTACTTTACTGATTTATCACTTTAAGGTTGATGTTAGACTCTTAAATGTTATTGTTGTTGAAAGCCCAAAATTCTCCGACGCAAACTAAAAGACAAACAAATGAAGCGAGCGTTTATGGCTGACCTTGAGCAAGTCCAGCTTTATCATCGAAACGACATTAAAGTTGCTATCAAAAAGTCAACACAAATGAAACCAAATGAACATCTGGTTAAAGTTAGTCGTTTGTTATCGCTAAACACAAATGCACAATCCTTTAACCTTAGGTTTTTTTAAGTGTATTTTCTTTTTGATATCGTTACAGCGTGGATTATTTTGGCCTAACTTCAAGTGCCTTAAACAACTTCAAAAGAGACACAAGTAAAATCTAGAAAGTATTTTACAGTGTCAGAAGCAAGCAATTGTGTTGGTTCGTATAGGATATTAAGAACATTTGCTTTCTTAAGAAAACAAACTAGGTCTTTTTAGCATGACTRTCTGTGAGTAAAGAAGTGAAAACAAATACGAAATAATTTGTTATTAGTAAAGTKCATACATAGATATCGAGTAAAACAAACTAGCAATACCAATATTTACCGATATGATGATAATAGTCTATCAATGGCTACCAAATGTGAAGAAATCAAAAGTCTTTACAAGCTGGTTTTATAAAAATAGGAAAATAAACGAATAACATGCGATTCTTTTTTGCAAAGATTTCTGATGAAAGTAGGTGAAAGTATATCAATCGATTTGTGAATACCCTGCATTTATGATCGCTTACTGAAAAATAATTAGTCGGTATTGGGCTGACGTTATCTAAGATCAATCGTCTATATACACACTATCCTGCGGCGAAGATCGTATTTCTTGTTCATAACYCGAATAATGTGTGGTCTAAAAACACTCGGTCGCTTACTGTAAACAAACATGGTTGACACTTCATAGCAATTATAAGCGCGACTTGGGTGGTGAGTAAGCCACGCCTATTTTGTTAGGTATATTAGCACAGACTCATCCTATAACAGTGCTTAATCATAACTACGGTTGGCTAGTGTTTGTACTTACCAGATAATGTCTTGGAGAGGCACATACGTTCCCTATGACTATAGATTCATGTACRATTCTCTTCCACAGTACTACCACACACAATGGTCTCCTCAGGGTTGCYCTGCTACGSCGATGGCATTAGACGAGTTGCGATATCCGTACAGAAGTATTCCTAGTACTGCAGAGCCTACTAGTTTGTGTCCATATCCATGCTGTAGGTACTACCCCAATTGCGATGGATACCAATATTCGTACAAGTCTTATTCAGTGGTTCCCCAGAAACCACCATTCTCGTACGTAGCATTGATTTCAATGGCGATCAAACAAGCACCRGAGAAGAAAATCACTCTACACGGCATCTACCAGTTCATCACCTCAAACTTCTCCTACTACACATGGCAGAACAAACGAGGTTGGCAGAATAGCATCAGGCACAATCTGTCTCTCAATCGATGCTTTTTGAAAATCCACCGCGACAAAGCTGATCCAGGAAAGGGTTGTTACTGGACTTTGGATCCTGCGTATGAGGGGATGTTTGAGGACGGAAAATACTGGAGGCGACGACGTCTGAAGAAATCCGTCAACACGAAAAACCCTGATGATGGAAACGAGAAAGAACTTGATAGAAGAAATGCGGATTCTGAGTGTTATCTTCAGGAGGAAGCTGAAACAGAAGATGTAATGTTAGACGAAAAAGAGGCGAGAGATACAAAACAAGTACGACAAGACAAAAGTAAGTTATCACAAAATGACGAGCAAGAATATGATGTTGTCACTACAACTACTTCTAACTCGACGGCAAATGCATTTGACGAACAATTGATCGGGGGAAATGACGRAAAGAATAAGGAGAAGCATGTAGAAAAAGAACAACTCAACAGTAAACCGAAGCTACTGTCTCAGGGTTTGTCTTCAACTTCAACGACATCAAGAAATCAAACGAACAGTAACATGAACTATCCAGGAAAGCAATCAGAAATAATAAAATCTAGTATAGGAAAYAGCTTTAGAATTGAATTCCTGTTGAAGAAAGATTAGGAGACTTGCTCGAGAGAGGGMGAAAATGTGTGGTCTCTTAACCGCTTAGTTCTAGCTACGGACGATTTAGAGATCTCGATTTTTTTCCTCGTTTGACTTAACAAAATAATGTATTGACTGCGAATACATCTTATTTTCTTCCAGTCAAATGAATTATTGTCAACTAACTGAATTTTAAAAAGCTGAGAAATACCAACTACTTTTTGTACTCTAATTCTAAAAGCTTATTTTCTTAAGAGACGAGCTTGACTGAAAAATGCGTCGTTACGAACTTTAAATATTAAGATATATACTGTTAACTTTTACAATGTAAGTTAAATTATTATTATTATTTCTTCTTCGTTTTTCAATTATAAAAAAATAAACGAAAATTCAGTCGACCTGCATATTAAAAGTAGTTTTTGAACGATAAAACTGATCGAATTTATTATTGAAATTTAAAAAATCCTAAATCATTCTTGTTGAAGTGACTTTATGAACTCTTATATTATAGTATTGTCTCAATATGTGCTAAAACACAATAAATAAATAATCTTTAGTCCACTTCCCAGTTAGTTTACAGCTCACTGATAAAATACGAAATAAAAAGCAAATCAGGTATATTCTGTTTCCGTGCATTCAGAGAGCCATACCTCTCGTGTACATTCTTATTCTGATACG